TATACAGTACAGTATATACATACTTTACTTACTTACTTATTTAATCGCTTCACAAACAGAATGTTTTCTTTTCAAATAAAATACACATCAAGGCTTCTCTCCTCTTTTTTTTTATTCTCCACTCAAGGTATCCTCATCTCAGTCCTATAAACAAAGAGTCCTTTGACGTGGGCGCTGACATTTTTGCAAAGTTCTCGGCTTTCATCAAAAACAGCCCAAACAACGCTGGTAAGTTTAGTGTTTCTGAGATTTAGCATTTACAAAGAGAAAAACAAACAAACCCTAATTGTTTCTGACCCTTCAGTGCAGGAGAAGAACCTGCTGCGTGAGTTCAAACGTTTGGACGAGTACCTGAACGCCCCGCTCCCCGAGGAGATCGACCACAACTCTACAGAGAACGTCACCACGTCCAAGAGGAAGTTCCTGGACGGAGACGGCCTCACCTTGGCTGACTGCAACCTGCTGCCCAAACTGCACGTCATCAGGGTGAGACGCTTATGAAAAACAGCTGTTGATACTCAGCAGGCTGATTTCACAATCAAAGACTCCTCTGAGGAAATAAAGGAAATATTTTATACAAACTGGAAAGAAAACTAGAAAAATGTCTCCAATTTTAAATATAAATCTCATGGAAACTTAAGTGTTGGTCATTTAGTTAAACAATAAGACCACCATTACAACAAATTTATTTATTTTTAAATTAAAAATGTGCTTTTCAGCCATCAAATAAAGGTACTCATTGTAAAGCTTGATATCAAACATTTGAAAAAGTTATCAAAATGATTCTGTTTGAAACCCAGATACAGGTTGGTGCATTGACTTGCGAGTTTCATTTGTTTTATTTTGGAGCTCGTAACTCAAACTACTTTTCCCCAAAGAAATGAATTGAAATTCCATTAATCCGTTACAGACCCTCCAAAACACTGCAGCTTCTCTTATGTTTTTAAATTTAAAAAGTACTTATAGACGGAGGTTTATAGCTAAGTACATTTACTTAGTATAGCTTTTTTTAGGATTTGCAAGCATTAAGTACTAAGAATTTTTTGTTATAATTTTTATTTTCATTTTGTTACATTCAAAATGTAAAAATGATACTTTTACATTTTTAATTTTGACTTTAACACTGAGTTACACGTTAAAAATTCAAATATGACCGAACTCATCATGAAAGGAGTGGTTTATTTACTCCGAGTTGAGTAAATGTAAAGCAATTTACTTTTTTTTTTCAAAAAGAAAGTATTTCAAGTGCTCAATTTACTCTTGGTTTAGTGGAACCAGTTTGGTTAAATAAATTCAACACCTCAATTTTTAGAGTGTGTGTAAAAGTACTTTTACTTTCACAATTATTGTGAGCGATTTTATGACTTTCACTTTCTTATTAGCGAAATTAATTTTTATCAGTCATATTCTGTTAAGGTATTTTTACTTTTACTTACTTTTTTCAAGTATTTTATAGACCTCTGCTTATAAATAATGAATATTATATAAAAACACAAAACAATAGAATGTACTGCGATAAACTRGTTTAAGTAATTATAATGTACAGCATTTAACTCGGAGATCAGACGACTTGGAGATGCTGAAGGAAGTGGAGGAGAAAGGATGACTGAAAATAAATCTCTGTGAGCACAAATACAAGTATAACACTGATGAACAGGATGCTGGCCGGATGTTCACTGTGCCAACTAGTGGTGGGGTGTCTGGAGCTGGTCTGTAACCCGAATTGTTGCTCAAAACCCAAAGCAAAATATCTGCCGAGAGACAACTCGTATCTAAAAAAAACTTGTAAGTCAAAGTACCACTGTAATGATATTTAAAGTTCTGAAATGCAGGTCTGCACTCGGTGTAAATAAAACACTTATCTGCATATTTTTGCTCAACAAATCTGAGCTTAAATTTAAACAAATACAACAAAGTTGTTGGACTTCTCCATCACAAAGAGGTCTTTCATGAACGTCGCCGTTGTTGACCTATTTTTATATTGGTAGCTATTGATTTTGATAACTTTTTTCAATTTAAGTAGACATTATCCTTGAGCAGAAAAATAAATAGTGCAAATTTTGTTTCTTACTTTACAATTTTCATGATTTATTTATTTATTTATTTATTTTTGTGATGTCGTCTTTTTGACAGTTCAAAAGATTCCTTTAAAATCTGGACCAAAATTTGATCTAAAATTAGTTTATTTACTCAATAATGGAATCAGATTCCTGTCAACACTTATCAGGGATGTTTAGTTGTAGGGATTATTAGATTAATAATCTGAAAGCAAATATTTGAATACTTTTATAACATAGCTAAAGTGTTATATTCTCTAAATAAACAGCTAGTTTTACTCATCTACTRTTATTGAACCTTTGATGATGTTTTCCGGTAATTTTTTTTTTGCAAAAATAAAAATGAATCACCAAGTTTAGCAACCTTCAAGCACATTAATAAAGATCTGAATTTTTTTTYCTCCCTGACATTTCCAAACTTCCAGTTTAAGGAGTTGTTTTACAAAAATATCACATTTTAATCTCACTTTCCATTTATTTCAGGTCGCTGCCAAGAAGTACTGTGATTTCGACATTCCCGCTCACTTCACAGGCGTGTGGAGATACCTTCAAAACGCCTACGAACGGGAAGAGTTCAAGCAGACGTGCCCGGCCGACATCGAGATCGAGAAAGCTTACTTTGGCGTTGCCAAGAGCAAATAAGATGTTAATCATCTCTTGTTTAAACCATGAATATAGAGATAATGATCCAAGAAGGTCGCCACGAAAACAAGAGTAACAAACCTGACACCTTTAAAATATTTAAGATGCTATAACAACATATTGGTTTTATGTACTGACTTTTTATCTATAATCACTGATAGATTAAACAAAAGAAGGCCAAAAGTGCAATTGACTGTTAATTATATTATCAGAATTATTGTTTATAGTGTAAATATAGCTATTTTTCATGCTTTTTACAATCAAAGCACCTGCAGAGGTGTTAGTAGGAGCAATATTTGGACAAACAGTTAATTTTAAGCGATTTCTGTTTTATCTTTTTACTGAATGACGCTGTCTCACCAGCATGCTATTAAAAAGTTTCACTACTTTTTTGGGGTCTTTTTGGTGTTTTTGTCTGTTAAAGTATCTAAATCCAGGAACAAAGGGCTCGGTGTCATTCCATCTTCAAGTTTATTTTCAGTCACAAAAAAAGACCATTTTACAGCTTCAAAAATATATCTTCTGTTGATACAAGATGATGCACAGTCGATGTTGTTTGGTGGGAAACAAAAGTGATGATGGACAGGGGGACAATGTTTCCAATGTGGACACGCTCTGACGTCCTTCTGCTGGGTGTTAGTTGGTAACGCAGTATTTCCAGAAACACGCTGTTGTTAGAAAGATCAGAAGGACAGACATTTAATTTATTTTGCTGTGAAATATTTTAACCTTTTATACAAGAACTCATAGAATTAGATTGTTTCTTTGCAGCTTCTCTTTTAAAGGAAGGAAGGTTTAAGGACACTGTTTAAGAGTCACAGTCAAATGTGTTGCAGACAGCCTAAAGTTATCCACTAAAACATAAAATATTGTTACATGTCTTGAGGAGGATTATACAATCTGTACCTTATTAACTGACTGTGTGAGCACAGGACTGATATCCAAACTGAGTAGAAAAATACAAGTTTTAGATCAGATTCTAACAAATAAATATACATTTCTGGTTGTCATACACTTTAGGTTTTAGTTCCAGCGATCTGAAGTTGGGTTTTACAAAAAAGGTAATGAAAAATAAATATCTTACCTGTTTTAGATGGATGTATAAACTGCCTCAGTTTTGGAAAAAAAMGTGTAAGAATTTGACTGAGGAGCTAACGGTAAATTTTAGCTAATTTTCAGCCAAACATGATTATTTAGAAACTTTCACATTGACAATAATTGTGTCTTATATATCTTTTTTATTGAATTATATTGTTGATTTCTATATGCAAATAGCAGCAGCAGATGGCTGTAACACATATGGTGCGAACTGGAGCATTTCTGGCAGGAAAATGATAACATTTCTATTATCTTAAAGAAGAAATGTGACATTGATGACAGTTTTGGAGATCGGAGGCATTTTAAGATGACAATGATCCACTTAGGTCAGATTAGCCTTTAGCTCATCAGTAGGCATTTAGCTAGAGGTWTAAACCAAAACCAAAGGAGGCATTGGGTTGGTGTTCAGAATTTTTGCGACACCCTTTTTTAGTTTTGCAACACTCATGGTGCGCCGTGTCGATCTTTTAACAGACATTTCTCTGAACGAGACACAGCTTTTTGTTTAGAAATGCCTACCAGCCAATCAGAATTAGGGTGGAGGCGGGCCTTGGGTGTTGGCAAAACTCTGATCCTTCAGTGAGCATGAATGAGCATGGACTGCCATTTATAAAGCCAGAGGAAAACACAAAAATTAAATACTGTTGGATAGGAGGTGAGTAAAGATTCTACAGTTTCAGTAGCTGCTATTGTTGTCCAAATTTTCCCTCCTGGTTTGTCCGATTTTTTTTCATATATAAATCATGTAAACTTTGTAAACTGTGATGGGAAAGGTCCAAAATCCTAGATAAATGCCTGCTCGTCAATCCGGTCAGAATTAAACTTAATTTCTCCAAACTAAGGCCATTAAAAAAAACTATCTACACAGCAAAAACAGGAGTGTTAAAATGTCCGTGTTAAACTTTTGGGTGTTGATTTAACACCCACAGTGTTATTTTAACACTTTCTGAGTACACTCACACCCAGTGTAGGTGTTAATTCACAGTGTTGATTTCCTCAGTGTTGTCTCAACACTGGACAGTGTTAAATAAGCTCTGCCCACAGTTAAGTCTTATACAACACTTAACAGTGTAGCTATATAACACCATACAGTGTTGAAAGAAGTTTTCTGAAAAGCCCCGCCCTCTTCCACCTCATGTCAGACAGACCAGCATTTACCCAGCATTCCTTGCTGAGAAATCTTTCAGAAATGATGTTTTTGCATGTTTATGACTATTAAAGACGTTCATGAGAGTAAAAATTAGTTGTTCTGGTTAGTTTTCTTGTTCAGTTTGATCAAGTTGTTCAAATTTAAGTTTATGTTATTGGCCAAAAATCGACACCATGAGTGAGAGGTACTTCCTGGTGTGTGAAGAAGGGTGGTTCCATTACATTTAACAGTCGAATGTTGATGCAACACTCCAAAGAGTTTGATATTAACTCTGAGTGTTAAATTTACACTCTCAATTTGTTGGTATATTTACACCATGTGGTGTCTGTTAACCTTTCAAACTCCACTGGTTGGTGTAAAACAAACAAAAAAAGAGTGTTAAATTTTAACACTTTCATAAATGTTGTTTTAACACCAGTGAGTGTGGACACATATAGACACTTTGTTAGTGTTAAAATCAACACTGTGGGTGTAAAATTAACACTGGCATTTTTGCTGTGTACAACAGGTAAGATATTTATTATTTATAACATTTCCACAGAGCTATCCCAACAAAATATCAACTTTTAATCAATTTGATCCTAATTAACAGCAGTCACAAACCCAATTAAAATTTAAGCTACTTACATAAAAGCCTAATTACTGCAAGTAAAGAAAGAATATCTGACTTCCTGTTCAGGTACAAATCAGCTCAAACCTCATCCTTTGATTTAATCAAAATAATGTCAGTTAACCTTACGTCATCTTTGCTCAGGTGTGGCATTTTCCATCTGAAGAACAATCAAAGGTTTCTCACCTCTTTTGTTAGTTTTTGGCAAACTCTGCTCTGATCTGAGAAAAGCCTGAGAGCGAAGCTTGTCGGCTGCCGCCAACTTCAGGACGACTTCTTTAAGGTCCTCAACCTTAAAAAGAACAAAGTAAGAAAACAGGTGAAGATTTAATCCATTTAACAACAATTAGGTAAGCATGCACCTCCTTTTGCTTCTCAGTGTTGGATTTGAATGGACTTATTTAAATTCAGTTTTGATTTATGTGTTAAAATTTGACAAGTTGTAAATTTATTTTAAAATCTTTTCCAATGAAAACAGTAAATATTTCTTGTAATATAATAATATATATAATAATAAAGATATGTTACCATGTTTGCAAACTTTTCTTGAGGCGGTGACTCTTTTCCCCCTAAAAGTGTCATGTGAAAGAATATTAATTTTACCATCTTATCTGGCGTATTAGTTTTTGTACTGTAAATGTTTTGAATTTATGTTTTACCTTTGTTCCAGGAGTCTCTCCCTTCGTTCTGCTGCATCAGTAAAGGATACAGATTATTCGCCTCTCTCTGTTCGCCCTCAGCAGTGTTGATTCCTTCTTCCACCTTTGACACTAATTTCTGAATAAAATCTGTTGGGTTAAGACAAAAATCCCCTTTAATTTATATATATTTTTGGTTTGTTTTAAGGTAAAAAGTAAAAGCTGGTTTAACTAATTAATCAGCAGTTAAAATCACAAGGCTCCTATTARTAAGAACTCCATTTTAATATTGTATAAAAGAGCTTTTTTACTTTAAACTGAAGTGAAAAGAGTGAATCTCAAAAGCAGTGAGTAATTTCAGTCTTACCTGCTTGTGGCTCCAGGTTGGACTCGGGGTACAGAGGTAACGCTTGTGTCCATGCTGCAGAACAAACCACAGCTAAAAGRTGCAGCAGGGCTACAGAAGTCATGGTGTCTCTACGTTCTGATGTCCAGATTCAGACTCTTCCTCAGCTCGAACAAGAACTTCACTTATACTTCCTCCACGGTCATCCATCACTCTTTGATCAATACGTTATCATCACAGCCAGTCTCTTTCTTAATGGATTCGACACGATGGATCAGGTGTCACTGGACACAATTTAGGGGACCTTGTCGAAGCCTATCTGTGCTTGTACAGAGCAGCCAAACAAATGTTTGCTGTGCAGCAGTAATCACAGCAGCTCTGATGGGTTTTCTGTGTGATGGGCTGTTCAAACGTGTGACATCAACACACGGAGTGGCTGGAAGTGTGTCACTGCAAGTTTCTACGTCATTTTGTGTCCAGTGACTCACGTTTCTGAGACCATAAGTCATAACTGTCAGTCCAAATGTTATCAGCCTCATACTGGATATAGCCCACACCTCTTTATAGGGACTTTGATAAATTTTTCAAACTTACTTTACAGGTGTTTTTCCTTTTTGTACTCGTAAGGCTCTATGTACAGATTCCAAAACTATTTAGTTTTTAAAAATTGGACCCCCCATTAAGGATTTAGAGGTCTTTAAAGGCTGAAAATTAGAAAGCAAGTGCTCCATTGACTTCCATTATACCATAAAAACAGTGTGGACATAGTGCACGTCATAATTTCGCAACAATTTTTCAAACCAAAGCAGAAAACAAACTAGATAAAACCTTAAGATAGATTTCGAAATGCTAAGGGGAGGCTTAGCATGAAAACGATCGTTAAAAATAAATCACAAAAACCTGACACACACACACTGCCGGGATCGGGCAGTGCATTTATCAAAGTTCCTACTAAAGGTCCTGATGCATCTTAGTAATCCAGGTAGAAAAAAATCAAAAAGAAAAAAAAAGTAGGTCCTCTGGATGGGTTCTTCTTTAGTGAAACGTTTCGTCTCTCATCCAAGAGACTTCTTCAGTCTGATGAGTTTCAGGTGAAACTCAGCCTTATAAACCCTGCCTCCACCTGGACAAACAGGTTAGTCAAACGCACAATAGGGCCATTGACTAACAACATATTAAAATTAGCAGAAGCTGACACTAGCAGTTAATCGCTCAGTCTGCGTCACGTCTTCATTTCCTTAGCTGTTAGCGGATCTAAAGTTGTCAGCCATTTAGCAGAAGCTAACACTAACAACAAGTAAAAAAGAGATTTGTGGAAGCTAACACTACAGCTAGTGCAGTCTTACCTGCTTGTGGCTGTAGGTCAGGTAGAGAGGTCAAGCTTGTGTCCATGCTGTAGAACAAATCACAGTGCAGAGGTGCAGCAGGGCCACAGAAATCATCATATCTCTCAGCTGGCAAAACCATTTAGTGGAAGCTAACACTAACAGCTAAACAAGCAAAAAAGATTGTGGAAGCTAATACTAACAGCTGCACAATTAAAAAAT